GTCCAGTAGCAAAACATGTCCCTTTATATCAGAAACTCATTATTTTGTAAGCAACTCTACGAATAAAAGGTACCCGATCCAGGAACATGTGAACATTCGAATGTAATATATTTAATTTCATGCAAGAAATGCCCCAAACAATATGTAGGAGAAACTAAGAATTATTTACGAACTCGCTTTAATGCTCATAGGTCAGACATCAAATTAAAGAAAGACAAGCCTGTTTCTAATCATTTCTACCTCGACGACCATTCAATAGACGATCTCACCCTAATCCCAATTGAGCGTATAGAAATTGACTTGCCCGAAGATGAAACTACCAAATTCCGTCAATCTAGGGAGGCCCATTGGATTGAGACATTGAATACAGCAAGACCTATAGGACTAAATATTCATCATAATGTAGGCATAGCACCCTTTGTTGTCCCGTTTAATACAACCAGCAATCGAGCAAGCAAGATAGTTCATACCCACTATAAGAGCCTTCAAGAGAAATTCCCCCATGTCTATAAGCAGAAAATGATAGTTGCATATTCAAAAAATAAGAACTTAAATGATAATATTGTTCATAGTAAACCAAAAACAATCAGTACATAACAGATACTATACTTCTTATTATTTGTTATTTTTTCTAATTTCAGATCAGAATAAGAACAGAAGAAAACCCAATATCAAGACCCTTAATCCTAATTTCTAAATAAAGTGTCTGCTCCACCCTAGGCCTGTGCATTTGTAGAATCAAACCCTCCCTTCCCCGAAATCCATTATCTGTTGATATTTTTATTTGCTTATTATTTTCGTTGATATTTCTAATGGAATTGTAAACAGAGAAATACTTTAATCCCAATTCATATTCTTGATTGCGATCGAGTTCATACTCTTAATCTAGAGACAATTTAATTTCTGATTTATATGAGGTGATAACGAATTGTTTTTCTTTGACATTTTTAATCACGTTTTTATAATCATTCTTATCTAAAATACCTTTCTCGAGAAGTCTTTTTAATATGCAATTTACTTCATTATATTGTCTGTGTGATCGATGACCTTCCTTCATTGTCACTAATATTATATGTAACTTATTAAGTAGTTCTTCTTTGTTGTCGAATAATAACGATATACCTTGTCCAGATACTATCGATTCGTCTATTTCTTGAGTTATTGAATTGTCTTCAGCATAATCATCTGCTTCGTCAACTTCATATTTATCATCTGATTCTTCAACTTCACATTCATCATCTTGTTCAATAACTTTTATTATATATATTTTAACTTCTTTCGATCTTCTTGTTTCGGGTCCTGACTTTCTTATTCTTAGTATGAGAAATGCGACTTTAATGTTAATGAATGATTTATCTTTACAGCAAAAACTTATTACTAATCTCCTAGTTTGTTCTCACTTTCTATTTTCTCTCTTACTATAAACTCTGTTCAGTGATCTTTCATCACCTTGTTGTTACATTCTTTTGGGATATTGGGATACCTGGATACATAGTCATTAGTTACCTAGCTTTTGTATAGTCAAGTCAGTTTGTACTTTCACCAAATTGATGTGTTTGAATTTCATATGGTAATCTGGATTCTATTGGATATAGTTTAGAGGTATGTTAAAGTGTTTTATAAGTATAAGTTTAAGTTTCATGCATAAAATTAAAGAATGTTATTAGTAATTATAGTAAGTTTTCATAAAGTAACCATATTTTTATATTTGTAAAGATAAGTACCATTTATAGAAGTCAATTACATAAGTGTTTTAATTTTATTTATTTGAATTAATGTCCTGTTTCAGGAATAAGTTGTGTGGTTATAATAATAAGGTGTTATTTACAACCTATGTATTATAAATGTATATCACTTTGCATAATTATTTATTTCAAATATTAATGCATTAGGTTTTGTATTATATACAGTTGGCAATTTCGTTTATTGTAAAGATTTGTATTTTATTTGTATTTGTTATATTTTATAATTGTTATAATTGTGTATTGCAGGTGTTTTGCACCTATAATAAAACCATAAAAGAACCCTGTCTGGTTATTTAAACTACCCCAGGCCACTATAACATTATGCTACTAAATCCTTGTAATCGGCAATACCAACATCCCCGTCATTCATTAAATCTATTAATCCTTTGTTAATGTAAATATAAAGTCTTTTGTATCGATTATAAATTCGGGGGAATTTCCACTTAATATTATTCTAAATCCATTAAACAATAACCCCTCATCATCAATAATTGGTGTAATACTCTTTGGTAAATCTGGTTCAGGTTTTGAAAAAAGACGATTTATATCATCTAATGTCCTAATTATAATACCACTATATTCATTCGTTTTTGGATCGGGGTGATCTTTATGAGACGTGGGTTCTATACGAGTCGTGGATCTATATTCTAAAGCTAATTTCTTTTTAATATCCTCTTGAGTTTTTAATATTGGTTGAAATAGAGTTTGTAAATTTTCTGTTAATCCAAGTTGTTGTAATTTGTTATTTTCAACGTGTGACTTTATTTTATTTCTTTTTAAAATATTATTCCAATTATCCATTTTTAGAAAAATAAAATTAACATATGTCGATCATAATACATCTATCACTCTTTTTCTAGTATTAAGAAATATGTATCCATGATCATCTGGGTTTCTCCATTGAGCTTTACAAACCTTTTTAAAAGTATCTCTGTCCATTCCATGATTTATCGACAGAATGATTTGAGATAAATCTTTGTCCTTTCATTCAAATAATAAAAACAATTTGCATTTTTTCTTATAAACATAGAATCCATCCCATAAAAAGATTGGGATTGGTATATGCAGTGACAGTTGTGATGTCTTCCTTTCGTGAAGAATTCTTGTTGAACAGCTTGATTTCTTTGTGCTACACAGTCGTCAAACATTAATAAGTACTTTCGATTGCTATCAATATTAGACAAATCTAAATCATTAACATTTTTCGCAAGAAAAACTTTTATATCCGTTGGATTGGAAGATGGATTCTTTGCTTTAATGAAGTTCTCTATGATATCTTTTATTCCACTTCTTCTTCGTGGTCTTCATAATATTGAAATATGTCTTGAACATCTTTCTTTGGTAAATATTCTAAAGCTTTGAGGAATTGGTAATATGATTGCTCTGGTGTTTTGTTGTGTAGCTATATAGAGAATCGAAATCTTAAGGGTTTGGTGTTGTCATGATGTTAAAAGTGAGATGAGTTTTCCCAGAACCTGAACTACCGCATATACACATATGCAATGGGTTACTAAGAAATATTTCTGAATGTTCGAATTTCTTTCCCATTTTTTATTATTTCATTTTGTTCCAAAAATCACTCCTCCTTTATACTTTGAAAGAAATAATCCTTCTCCAGTGTGAATGTTTTTTTTAGAAATATTCCGTTACCCTTATGTTTGACTTTTATTTCTTCTGTGTCGATTTTGTCTATGATACTGTTTAATCATTGTTTAACAGTTTTCTTGCTTTCTTCCCCAAATCGTTTTACTGTTTTTCTTTAACTATACCTAATATATCTGTCACTCCTGAACCTTACTAAATTATGTCTACGTTCTTCGGCCGCTTGTACTGAATCTGTTTTATTTTTGTTGGCAGCTTTTACTGCGGCAGCTGTACCACCAGTTATTGCACCCGCTGCGGTAAGACCAGCAAATATCAAAGGTTGGAAAGGGAAAGATCTATTTCGTCTCTGTCTTTACAAAAAATCTTCTTGGTGAGCTGATAGATCAGAGCAGAAGATTGGATGATTAAGTGCAAAATCTACATATTCAAACTGAGGTGGATTTCCAAATAATTCACACATGTTTTTATCGTTTCTATACAATTCATTATAATCCATTGTGGTTGGATTAATTGTTAAAGGTTGGTTATGATAATTATCGTTGTTTAATCTTACTTGAACTTTATGGATGATAGGATCTTGATTTTGATTCATTGCCACTCTGAAGACATTATTTTTATTCGTCTGAGAGTCTGGTAGCTTCTTGAAACCAAATATCTTGCTGGTTTTAATAGTATTGGTGGATTCTCCAGTTTAAGTCATGCTACATAGTGTATTACGACGAAGAAAAGCTATTTCATTTTCTTTAGTCAACATGTTGAATATTCTCGTTTCTACTTGGTGGTTGTTTGTTCCTTAGCAGTGCTATCCTGATAAATTTCAACAGTCTTCCGGCGTCGAGAAATATTTTCATGTTCTTCGACTCATGGCATTTTGGTACGCCAGGGAACAATACTCGTCTCCCACCGAAACTGATCATAACAATTCAACTCCTGATTCACCTGCTCTCCACAATTAACTGATTCTGGTGCCTTTGATTATTTACCAAAAAGTTCATCTTTATTCTTACCTAAACCTGGCCAGTTCCCTACCCTAGAATTGTATATTTTGCAATGTAAGGAATACAATAATTTAAAACCTAATCCTATTCCACATTTAATTTAAATAAAGATGAACGTGAATGGTAACGCTCATAAAGAATAGAGAAGACATTGTCATTAAGAGAGCTAACAAGGGAGGAGGGGTTGTCGTTTGGCGTAAGATCCTTATATCCAAGAAGCCACTCGACAACTTGCTAATATTCACTCGTATGAGACTTCTTCTATTAAAACCTATCTAGAGACTACAGCTATGAATCGCATTAAAACAAGCTGAATGTTACATTTTTTGTCAGTTTAGTGTGGTTCTTCGTAAAGATTGCACCTTCCTCGCTTTTTTTTTTTCGCTTGATAAAGGAATTAGTCCCGAAACGTAGCTACATTTACTCTAATTGTATCGACCTTTTACCTACTGTGTGCACGTTGTCGTGTGATTTATTTTTTCCTGTAATAATACAGGATGAACTAGCAAAGTCGGAAATACTACGAAATAGCTATAGCTGAACGAATTGCAATGTGGAGCGTATAATGTCGTCACCCATGTCCGTCCGTCAATGCTCGTAAACACACTGGAAGACACAATCTTCAAGTTAATTATCACCAAAATTGTTATTGACCTTGTTCTTGAAATTCTTTAGCACGTTAACACTCTAGTATGAACAATTCTTTATAGATGCAGATAAAATATGCTTTAAGTGCTTATTGAATATCAGATGAATCGAAATATTTCATATCAGTTATTGCCTCAATTTTAGCTTGTCAACACTCTAGAAGACAAAATTATTTCCAAATTTGACTTAAAAGAAAAGTTCGCAAGAAGTTTACGACTAAAGTTTGAATATTTCATACAAATATTGTATATCGTATGTATGTATATTACCTTGCCTGGCACGCTATCTGGTATTTTATGTTTATGATTGAATTTTAATTCTACTTCATTTTCTCAGATAAAAATAATATTAAAATTATTTTCCGATTTCTCAGTAGCAGGTAAGCACTGGAACCTCTAGAACGAACGCAAACATTGTGGTCAGGTATGCTATGGCAGACAAACTTTTTGTCAAGCTAGTAATTAGTAACATTTTGTCATTATCGAATAATGAATTAAAATTTGTAAATTTGCCCTCCTGGAAATATAGAAATCAAATGTGATCCAAAGAATACTTTCGGATAAATCTTATATTTAAATGCAATGTTACACAAGCTTGTAATTGCTGTCGTGGGAGTGTTACATTGCCTGGCAAGCTATCTTAAACAAATCGGTTCAATCGAGGATTCCCGTCGACTTGATTTGAGTACCACACTCCTAAGTTGTGCATTCAGATATGTGTCCATTGACACAAGCAATTCCCCTCACACATACAACCCCTTCCAACATACATATGAAAGATGTGCATGGAGTAACATACCTTTTTTTGTTTGTATTTGATCGCCACTTTTAACCTTGCCAATCTCTGTCGTTCTGTGTAATTTTCGTCTGCTGTAGAATTAGTATCATGATTCAGTATAATATGTAGTTCACTTGAACCTCGGGTTTGTTCTAATAGGTCAACAGCAAACTCTTGACACTTTAAACTCAGTTTCTCATAATCTATTTTGAATTCATTTTCCAATTTACTTAAACGACGTAAATCAGCACATAGTTCAAATGCAGTAAGTATGGGATCTTTACTCGATAAAGAAATTAAAGAAGGGCTAGCCAATGCTTTATAAGAATTAATTCTGGATCTAGAATGACGTAAACTATCGTCATCATTTCCAGCTACACATTGTTTACAATTACAGCGTATATCATGAGGTTTAGTAATTCTACAGCCCAAACTTAATAATAATTTGATAATTTCATAATTATCACGATGACCAGCAAGTATTATTGGTGTTATATCAGCACTAAACGATGTTGATGGTCTTGGATTATTCAATGCCTGTAAAATACAAGAATATTTATAGTTTTAATTTATTTTACAATTTTAAAATTAATAACGTGGATATTTGTGCATGACAAATGTCCATGTCAGGATACAAATCATAGGACCGAATCGCTTTGAATAAGACGGCCACTCTCGACCCCTTTAAGCGAAAGCAAGCACTAATAATCATAATCAATATTCGATGAAAAATAATGGCCCGTATGCACCAAATAACATAAAGCCATTCTTCCCGAATCGTATTTGGAACGCACCACATAGAATCATCTCAAATATATTTAAAAAAATAGCGATGGCCCATCGTAATACGCCCACCATTGCTTTATTCAAACTTATTTTTCTATTTTCAACAAGTTACGTCTAAATCAGGTTTAAGAACAGGGGCAATAGCCCATATTAAATATGTTTCGATTCACTACTTTTCAATAAGGTTCGGGCGATTCAACCAAGTTTCTTTGAAGTCTGTTCAGAATAGTGCCTAGGACGTGGACAGAACAAGGACAACTAGATCCACAGGCTTCGCGAGGTTCTGATGCAGTGCGTAACAGTTTTGATTTTACGCTTAAAACTGTGCCGCAAAGTATCGTAACAGAAACATAATTTTCTATCATAATTAACTGGATATAGATCGCCCAAACGCAAAGCATGTTCGACAGATCACTTCAACTCACATTGTATTCAAAAACAGTTGAAGGAAGCAAACTACCTTTATCGTTTAGACCCCAAAAAAACTTACAAGGGTAAAACCGACTTTTTCAAGATAAAATTCATCAGTTTCAAATGGCGATAAAATCGGAAGTAAACACCGTACAATAAACGTTAATATACCATTGGGGAGATCTCGTCGAGAGCTATCAAAATTGTTCTGGTCACATGATCACCAAAGGTCTAGGTCACGATAAACGACCCTTCAAAGTATTCATATTTTTCAACCGGAAATAAATAAAGAGCAAAATCAAAATTCAAAAATCGGTTCTCAAATATAATTTAGCAATCGATAGTAGATACCATAGATATCAAATTTACACCAATTGGATTACACTCTGAGGCCCCATTTCGATTTATAGAAAATTACGCACAGTTACTATAGAAGAAAGTACAAAATTTTGAAATATTAAAAAGCGCAATTTTGATTGAAATATCTAGTGTTATATATCATTACAAAGGGCAGATGAACACTAGTAAGATTCAATAAGAATTTTTGGTGTATGTAAATTAGGTCACGTGTCAGAGCTCTTTGAAGCCAAAAAATCGTAAATTTCAATCGGCTATAAAACCGGAAGTAAACATTGCATAGCACAAATGAGTATATCACTGGATAGATATCATCAAGGGCAACAAATATTGTTCAGGCCACAAGGTCACCAAAGGTCAAGGTCACAAAATAGGACCCTTTGAAATTTTGGACATTACCGAAAAACTTTAACCGGAAATAAAAGAAAAGCAAAATCGAAATTCAAAATTCGGCTTCCAAATTTCTTTTCGCAATCTAATGTGATATCCAGATATACCAAAATTATGAAAAGCGCTTTATACCCTGAGGCCCCATTTTGAATTTTACAAAAGTTTGACATATCAATATGGCGGCTACTCTGTTACATCGGGGTCGGATTTTATGATTTTAAGTTTTTTGTATGGCCATTTGTAACTTATTGCAAAAAGAATTTTTGAAATATCTTCAAAATTCCGGAAGTTGAATTTTATATTTTAGAAGCGAATAGCGTCAAAACCGGAAGTGATATCGAAATTTCGAAAATTTATTTTCGTTCGCAATAAAAGTATCTATGCCTGTGTAAGTTTTCAAATTGTTCGAAATAGACTTGTAGAAGTTAGAAAAAAGGTTAAAAAACTCTAAAATTGGAGCTAAAAATGTCAGCGACAAAAGTCAAAATTGTCGATTTTTTCAATTGCTATCTTGTAGTCATTAGCGAGAAGTAATAAACAGTACAGTATAAGCAAATTCAGATCAGTATTAAAGCTGATTACTGGAAAAAATCGAAAAAGAGCCATTGTCCACAGCTCAATTCCGGTTGGTCAAAGTGGTACCAATTTATATTTAACAAATAATTGTCCAATATTTTGACTAAAAAACAGCAACAGACAGTTTGAGGCATGTTTCCTTCTTAGAAAACAATCAAAGGTAAAATTCGAAAAAAAAAAAAAAAAAAAATATTCATTTGCAAAACTGTAATAAGTCATATTAAATACTCTTTAATCCTTTAGTGACATGTAGGGGTATAGATCACATTGGTGGGTTGGTCGGTTTAGAGTCACCGGCCACGCTATTCTCGTTTAGGTAATTAATAGCGTAGACGGTCACTAGTCGGTTGCCGGAAGTATCGCTTTCCATATACAATTGATGAATAGTCGACCATTCCCGAGGATAGAATCAGATGCCTGTGTATTAAACCCGACAACAAAATGGCGGAGTCGTCAGAAGAAGAACTTTTAAGCAAAAGGGAGCAAACCAAGGGGGGAATTCAACCATATAGATTTGAATCTGCTCGTCAAAACCACAATGAATCGGAAGAGAGTGAAGACACTGAAGAGGAGATTGGGGACGACCCCTTTGGCAATAAAATCGACTTTGGTAGCCGTGTTGAGCAACCTGTCAATGTGTGCTGTATTTGTGATGGTTGTGCTGCCATGGACAGTCCAGTTATGAACTTTTGTTGCCATGAGTTTGAGGAACTACAGAATAAACTTTTTACCGACGACTTGGACTGCATATCATTGCACACGGATTTTAAAGTTGTAGTTCTGGAAGAGGCTGTATTGAGAACGGCATTAGTGAGAATGAAAGATGCGCAAGATGGCGGACTGAAGTAACACTGTGAGATCTCTTGAGAAAGTTTTTCAAATTATGTGCTTTTGATCAATTTGTACCTTCTAATTTTATATCTACGGATTGCAATACTTGCAAGGATTAATGACAATAACTATCCTGTATCTTTCGCCATATTATACAGCTGTAATTTAACATTTTGTGTGTGAGGGTGATTTTTAGTTCACCAACGAAGTACAAACTGTGAGTAGATTTATAAAAGTTTTATCTACAGTATCAATTATATTCTACAAAATGGCCAGTAACAATAATCCTAAACGTAAAAAGGGAGATTCTTCTAGCATTAGTGAGTTCTGGATACAATGATGCAAGAGGACGATTCTCTGAAAACTTTGATAGAAGAAATACTCAATTGTGACGTAATAATGACGAGCATTATCAACGTGATAAAACCCGAACTATCTAAAGATGTATCTACCCGCATAGAACTGTTGGAGAACCGGATTGATGATTTGGAGCAATACTCTCGCCGAACTTGCTTCAAATTATCTGGAATTGTTGAAAAACGGCAAAAAACACGGATAAAATAGCTTTGGACATCATAAACAATCATATCTTAAACTCAGATGATCACCAACCTCAGATGTCGACAGAACACACTGTGTGGGTTCCAAATCAGCCTCTGGATCACGCGATATTATCATCAGATTTCTTAGTTACAGGAACAGAGCACTGGTTTAAGAAACGTTAAGAAGTTTAATACTGACAACAGAAGCAGAATCTATGTAAACTTCCCTAACGAAGAAGGGAGTCCATCTTTATAAATTAACCAGAGACGCCCTTAAAAGGAAAGAGATCCTGAATTGCTGGACATATGATGGTAAGATTTTCATAAGGCCCTTGTCATATGACAAAAGTGCAAGGATTGACAAAGTAAATGACCTCGAACAATTTTCTAAAGGCAACCGTTGCAATCTTCGCACATTCTGTAATGTTACCAACGTCATTAACAATCCGATGGAGTGTGATCCAAACACAAACCAAGCATATAGCATTGTTCCCTCAGCAACAACATTGTCTACGCATGATGACCCCACTACACAACTAAGACAACCATCTTCAAGGATTTTTCTTACATCAGTTTTGAACTTTTAGGCATATATGTCTGAACTAGTAAGTCACGGTTTGATATTGTACTACAAAATGGAATTCATAGAAAACTCTATTCTTACGTTATTGATACTGAAACGTCTATTTATCTAATAACAAACTTTTATTTAATAGAATAGAAAACTAATCAAAGTAAATTGAAATGATACTTTATTTAAGTCAGAAACTCCAATCTATATAGTAGAATATACCTCTATATATTAGAATACAAATCAAAGTAAATTGAATTGATAATTTATATTAGTCAAAAACTTCCAATCTATATATTAGAATACAGAATACTAATCAAAGTAAATTGAAATGACATTTTATATTATCCGATACTTCCAACCTATATATTAGTGATATGCCTCTATATATTAGAATATAGAATACTAATCAAAGTAAATTGAATTTATATTTTATATTCGTAACTTCCAATCTATATATTAGAATATAGAATACTAATCAAAGTAAATTTAAATGATATTTTATTTTAGTCAGAAATTTCCAACTTATATAATAATAATATACCTCTATATATTAGAATATAGAATACTAATCAAAGTAAATTGAATTGATGTATTATATTAGTCAGAAACTACCAATCTATATATTAGAATATAGAATACTAATCTCAACTTTAAATGATATTTTATATTTGTCAGAATTTTGCAACCTATATATTTGTAATATACTTCTATAAATTAGAATATAGAATACGAATTAGAATCAATTAAATTGATATTTTATATTAGTCATTAACTTCCAACCTATATATTAGTAATATTCCTCTATATATTAGAATATGGAGTACAAATCAGAATAAGTTGAAATGATATTTTATATTAGTTAGAAATTTCCAGCTTAAATATGTGTAATATACTTAAATATAGTAGAATATTGAATACAAATCAGAGCAAATTTAGTAAATGTCCAACCAATAATTAGTAATAAACCTAATTCTCCATGTCTCAAAACCAAATGTGTCAATCAGTCGTCAAAACTTGCACTATAAACTGTATATATGTACGTATTTTTTGATC